AACCAAGAAATCATAACCTGTCAACCTGCCATGTTTATACCTAGTCCAACGTGTTCCACTTTACTTGAGGTAAGGGGAAATATTAATGACACTGTTGTTAAAACATTTGGCAGTGTAATAACCCTTAATGACATCTTTATAACTAGTACAATGTGTTCCACTTTCCTTGAGGACAAGTAAAATATTCATGTCACAGTTATAATGGTGTCATGACGGCCAAAGTCAAAACCAACCACATATGACAGTAATGTAATGTTAACGCAAAGCTAAATAACTTCTTTAAGTTTGATAATTAGACCTGTTATGACATTTGTGAAAGTTTATGATTTCTTGGGTAATGTCAAGTTTTCATAACAAAGACATTTTAAACAATGTCAACTTTGCATTAAAAGTGTCATGTTTATGACAGTGTCATTTCAGTCTTATGCACACCCCTTCAAATAAAGTGGTACCGTTTAATCAATAGGCCACACAGACGACGTCTTAAACCCAAACTTTTTGAAAAGCTGGTGGTGCTAAAGGGAATCGAATAGATAGATGTCTGAAACACATAGGTACACCACCTGGAGGAGTACACCATCAGTTATTTAAAATATAATTGACTTTGTGTTATTGAGTTCTTGTTCCTGGTGGTGATAAAACATAATAAAAGATGTTAAAAGTTTTGTATTTCCTACAGGGCTGGGGAAGGGAAGAGGTATATAAAATGAAAACGAAAGTTTCTAAGTAGTTGCACACATCTAAATAATTGTTGGCATTCAGAATAGGACCAGATAGATTTCAGCCTAATAGGGATGCCTGCACTGAATTGCCAATTTCACATGTATTTTCTGTATTTTCAAAATACAAAATACTGTATTTGTATTTAAATACATTTTTCCACACAGTATTTTGTATTTGTATTTAAATACATTTTTCCACACAGTATTTTGTATTTGTATTTAAATACATTTCCATGTATTTATGCCCATCCCTGGTTATTGTACAGATTTTTACTTTTGTGTTACCTACATTCTGTGCATGGAAAACTGTGACTTGACAAAGACCAGTTTTGTAATGACTGTTGTAATGAGAAGTCATTGCGCCTGTAATGGCAAAAGAAATTGTTAAATGACAAATGTCAATACAGGGCTGTAGACTGCTCTTACAATTCATTAGAAATGTACACTTCACAGTACAGCAACAACAGTATCATCTGGGTACTCTTTTGTTGGGTTAGGACAATCATGCCCATTACATATATATTGTCTTTTGGTCTGATGTACGTAGTCAAGATGGGAACATTTCCATGGAAAAATTTTGATGTTTCTCGAAGCCAAGATATTTTTTCCCTGGGGCCACTGTTGAAGCATGAAATGCTGATAGACCTTCAATAATAGCTTGAAGCATTTGTCATGGACCTGCTTACACTCAATTTCACCTAAGAGTGAAGGTCTGGTCTTTATTGCTAAGAAAATGAAGTACAGCAGGTTATCAACTGTGCAGGTGTTAGCCAATTGTATAGTTTTTTTTTGTTTTTCCTATTTGGCCCTTCCCGCACCAGGGAGAGGAAGTGTAGATGCTTTCCATACATGTCATATTTGTTGGTGTCTGCCTTTCTGCCATTTCTCTTCTTCACTAAGAGGTAGTTTGATTTTGCTGTCATTTGTTTCTTTCTCATTTACTGTGTTTTGCTGAATTGCATAAACGGTGAGACCACGCATTTTACCACAAATAAATTCCTGGTCTTCTGTGGAGTTTGTTCTTCAGCACGATGCGCTTTGTTGTTCGGAACCAGTTCTCAACCTGTGCCTTTGTGTCTTGAGTTTTTCCCAGATGTTTCAACATTATGCCTGTCCATAGTCACACTGTTGCCAAGTACGGCTTGAGAATTTGTATCATGCTTGGACACTTAAATGGATTGGCTTGAGCTGTATCACTGCTTTGTTCGTTTTGTGCATCTACTAGTATTTTTTCAAAGAGTTTTGCAATTGGGGAGTCATAAACAATTGTTTTTGGAGTTGTTTCATTAACTAATCATTCCAGAGGTGTTTCATTGACATCAACATCAGCAAAGACAGGCTGATTGTGTATTTTATTCTGCAGTGTCTTCAGACAATCAAGGATGGACAAAGCATCTCTTTAGGGAAAAACTATGCAAATGTCTTGCAACAAAGATTTGATCTCAGCCAGTGAGGTGGCATTCTGTATTAGTGCAAATGAATGCAGAAACAAGTTCTTTATTTCTTTGGTGCACTTAGCCTTTACAATTTTAGCCTTTAAAAGCAATTTTATCATGTGCACAGCACATACGTGCACAACAGTGAATGCACACCGTTTTCCTTCCAGACATTCCTCAAGACACTGTTGCAGATGCTTGTGTATATTACACTGACAGAACGTATGTAGGGTTGCATGAATGATTGCCCAACTAAAATCGGTTTCCACTTTTTGTGGTTGGAGGCTTTGTTTGTACATGTACATAAAATCACGGGACAGGCAGTTCAACCAGTTCTGAATTGTCGGTGTGCTCTGATCTGATGAGAGCATCTCAGATACAGCAACTATTATTCTACCAGAAAGACTCGGGAGATAAGATACTGTACGATAAAACATTTTATTAACAGCCCAGCAAGTCATATATGCAATAAAGTTCTTTGGCGTAGGCCACGTCCGTAACTCGCGATCCGAGGGTATGGATTCTGCATATCCTGCCTGAAGATGAAGGCAGGGGCGCAGCCGACCCCCCCTTGGAGTTTTGGAAGGGACCGACCTGGTGGTGGTGGGAAGGATGGAGCAAAGACCGTCTTAGTGGAGGTGGGGAGGATGGTGGTAGGTGAAGCGTCAGCATCTGCGAACTCAGACAAGTGTAAGTAAGGGTCTTTTATACTTCGCGTATTAGAACGCGATTGGATAGATGAGAAGTAATAATGACGTGACAATTGAGTCTTCCTGGCAGAACTTGCGCTGCGCTTTCATTTGTTGAAGTGGACTGAACTGGCCAGCAAAGTGCATAATACAATACACTTTTGCATCTTTGTGGTTTTGTCACAACACGTCCTGTGGCATCTAGATACAAAAAAAAGGTTTGTCCTTTTGCAAATCTCGTAAGAGCTGAAGCTGTGTAGTAGTGTACACGTGTAGTGTAAATGGTGGAATAGCCACACACTGGAGGTATTGGTGCTTCAGGGGTGTAAACTGTTGGTTTAAGTCCTGTGCATCTTGTATTTTTTAGACAATCCAAAAATGGATTGAATGGGGGGGTGGGGGGGTGTACATGCACAGGCATGAATTCCCCAAGCATCTTTTTGAGGTCTTCTCTCTCCATATTACTTGTCCACCTCCTAAAAAATGTTGCCTTAGAGTGATCAATTCTTCCAGACACTCACAGTAACTGGTAGGCCTACTGTGGGCACATCCTTTGCTGGTTTCTCACGTATACAAAATTTAGAAAAATACACAACCATTAAATTTGCAATGGGCCTTTCCATTCCAAAATGAAGAATGTTTTTTATTTTTTTTATTTTTGTAGCTTTACTCTGTTGTAATTAAATGAAAGGACACAATGCATTTTTTCATCCATTTTTTATAACACGTGTCCATCCATGGTTTAGATGCCTGTACCCCTGTCTTACACTGGGTTTTATCTTTGCCCACTTTTCTCTTGTCAATATAAATTGTGAGTGGTCCTTTTTTTACATGTTCATCACTATCTTTCTTGCAGTGTCTTCTTTGACACTTCCAGTTTGTTTCCTCAAGTTTGTCTCGTTCTGTTTGATGTAGGTCATTGTTTGTTTGTGGTTTAAAGGGAAGTTTAGTCTTTTTTGGTCTTGTTTTTTGTCTGTCTTGTTGTGCAGTTTGGACAAAACCAAAGTGAAATCCCAGCTATATCCTTAAATGAGTAGTTCACTTTAAAAAAAAAAAAAAAACTTTTGCTGATAATTTACTCATCCCCATGTCATCCAAGATGTCCATGTCTTTCTTTCTTCAGTGGAAAAGAAATTAAGGTTTTTGATTAAAACATTCCAGGATTTTCTCCATATAATGGACTTTCCTGGTAACCAAATGGTTCAAGGTCCAAAAGACAGTTTCAGTGCAAACTGTTCAAAGGGCTTTAAACGATTCCAGACGATGAATAAGGGTCTAATCAAGCAAAACGATCGCTCATTTAATAAAAAATTAACAAAGTTTAAGTTTTATAAGCTCAAATGCTCATCGTGCTCTGTTCTGTGATGTGTGTTCATGACTCTCGTCTCCTGTTTGAACTCGTTTATCAAAATGAACAAATCTTTTTCTGAGTCAATTCGTTCATTTCATTCGTTGAATGAACCAAAAGACTCGGACAATGATTCGTTCATTTTCCTTCATTTTTCGTTTATTAAATTGCGAGTGGTCATTTTTTTTAATCACTATCTTTCTTCCAGTGTCTTTGACATTTCTGGTTTGTTTCCTCAAGTTTGTCTTGTTCTGTTTGATGTAGATCATTGTTCGTTTGCGGTATAAAGGAAAGCTTAGTCTTTTTTTTTTTTTTGTCTGTCTTGTTGTGCAGTTTGGACAAAACCAAGGTGAAATCCCAGCTATATCCTTAAAGGAGTAGTTCACTTTAAAAAAAAAAAAATTGCTGATAATTTACTCACCCCCATGTCATCCAAGATGTCAATGTCTTTCTTTCTTCAGTGGAAAAGAAATTAAGATTTTTGATTAAAACATTCCAGGATTTTCTCCATATAATGGACTTTACTGGTAACCAAATGGTTCAAGGTCCAAAAGACAGTTTCAGTGCAAACTGTTCAAAGGGCTTTAAACGATTCCAGATGATGAATAAGGGTCTTATCAAGCGAAGCGATCGCTCATTTAATAAATAAATAACAAAGTTTACGTTTTATAAGCTCAAATGCTCATCTTGCTCTGTTCTGTGATGCGTGTTCATGCCTCTCCTGTTTGAACTCGTTTATCAAAATGAACAAATCTTTTTCTCAGTCAATTCGTTCGTTGAATGAACCAAAAGACTCGGACAATGATTCGCTCATTTTTCGTTTATTTGGCCACTTTAGGTTCACACATAGGCACCGGACATCATCACATTTTTGTATACATTTTTATTTATTTACATTAGTAATCTACAGGACATCGTCTTTCAAAACATGACCTGCACGAAAGAAAAAAATAAATGAATGTGTTTCTGTCCCCAGCACATTTCACACTGACATCCATGGGTTCACATTCAGATTCACAGTGATTACTGTCCTTCATCTTTGCCAAAACTGGCCCTGATTTGTTTTTAAGATAATTGGGTCACATTTGATGCAACATATGTGGGTCATGTTTGGTTTACACCCAGATTAGTCATTGTCAATTGTGCAAATTTTTTGTCATATTTTTGGGCCATATTTGCCATTTTACAAGTGGGCCACTTTCAGACTCACACACATTTTGTCGGGCCATAAGAAGGCCTGCAGTGCCACATCATCGCCTGAAGTGGCCCCCATCTGCCATCTGAGGAGCGAGTAAAACACACATAAATGCTGTTAACTGGGGAAAATGTTTAGTCGGTCTGTAGAGGAGAAGAGACTTCATCCACAGAACAGAGACAATATACTGTACATCTGTGCATCAGCAACACACACACACACACACACACACACACACACGCACGCACGCACGCACGCACACACACACATAACTAACTTCATATAGAATAAAACAATAACAATAAACATATTCTGTGTATAAAATGTTAGAGAGATACTGTAAATGTTTAAAAGTTACATGTAATCTATATCTTTTGAAACATGTATGTGCTATAGTTGACAATCACGTTCATGATTAGAAATATTTGAATAATTCTGGATTATTTTAGTCTAAACATTATTATATTTGCAGGCCTGATAGTGAAGATTTCTGCTGACACTCATCTGAGCTTCTTCCTCTGTTCCACCTTTAATTACAACTAAACCATCATTTGGCTGAATAATAAACCAACATTAATCATTCAATATCACATGTTTCTAATACGCATGCTAACACACACGCTGCTTTATTTAATAGTGAAGTCTGAGCCTCTTCCAGCTGTATGAAACACATTTACACATGTATTTCTCCTCATAGACAGCAGTGAGACTCTTCTGTGGATCACCTGATGGTTTCTGCTCCTCTCATCTCCGTTTCACAGATTTAAACCATGATGTAAGTCCGGTCGATCCGGGCGTTTGCCAGTCGATCTTAATCTACTCTGTAAAGTGGAACAGAATAGAAAACAATCAGTGTTCAGTGGAACAAAGTGCAAATTAATTGAATTTCTGTAATCAGATTAATTACTTTACATTGTCTTGGATAAATATTTGTGTTTTTAAATATAATAGATTTAAATCATGATTCGTGATTTAATTTTTTTTAAAAGATTTCATAATAGAACCTGAATCATGTTCATATGTGTGTCTGTGTGACTCTAATGAGAAACTAATGAGTGTAGGACGTGTGGAATAAACCACAGTGAGCAAATCCTAATGTTATTTTGAGTTAAACACAAACCTTTAGTTAAAGCCGTTTGTCCTCTAGTTTAAACATGTTTGTAGGCTCTTAGTAAATAATTGAGAGTAAAGTAAGTGTAGAGTAGTGTGACGTGTTGCTTGTCACAGTAAAAACACACTAGAGACAGAGACATTGCTCATGTGAGCTGGACGCTGTGAGCTGAAGCTGGAACTGCACTGATTTTAGCAGGAGTGCAGCGTTTCCTACAATCTGACCAAGTCTGTTTCACACTCAAATGATTCACTTCTACTGACACAGTTCATAAAGCAGGTGTTGATGTATAAAGCTGTGACAGTGAGCTTTTCTTCTCTTTCCTCCTTTGTGTTCAACATTTCAATAACTTCACATTATGTTCTCACAAAAACTTTTGATACAATAAATCTTAATGATAACTTCCTTTCACGAATATTTGAAAGAATTGTTCACATATAAGAGGTAAATGAAGATCTCTTTAGTATCTCAGTGATGTTTCCTCACCTCAGGACACAGTTTGAGTCTCGTAGTTCGTCTCTGAGCCGCTGCTTTGAGTCTCCGATCTTATTGTCACTCAGATCAAGCTCTTTTAAAAACTGCAGAGCTTTTGAGTTCGTCAAAGACTGAGTTAAAGAAGAAACATCTGTAATGCCACAGTACTGTAGACTAGAGAGACAGACAGAGAAAGAGAGATTATCTTACAAATCATGAATGTGAAGAATTTTAGACAAATATCTCACTGACTCAAGACTCACGGTCAGATATTGAGAATAAAGTGTTTTAGTTTAATAAACCCAGAAATTGCACTGCTATAACCAATCAAAAATAAACCCTGCTGTCTTCAAATAAATAAACTCCAGTCACACTGTAATTGCTGTACAGTATAATGACACTAACTGTAGTTTCTCCAGCTTGAATTGTGGGTTCATCAGTAGATCACTGAGGTTTTTCACTCCAGAGTCTCCTAGATTATTCACGTTCAGGTCCAACTCTCTCAGGTGTGACGGGTTTGATTTCAGAGCTGAAGTCACATCAGAACAACCTTCATCTGTCATATCACAGCAGCTCAACCTACATTTGTATAGAGAGAGATTGAGAATGAAGAAAATAAGAGACTCTTTATTCTGTCACATCATCTTCATCAGCAAATAAAACAGAGGAAGAGAGATCTTCATCTTTAATTCACCAGATCACAAAATACTGAAGTGAAAATGTCTGTACAAATATAATGTTAATGTGTTTTAGTTTAAACTGTTTTAAGTGATTTTAAGCATTTTGATTCTTGTATGTGAATGTGACTGACCTCAATCTCTCCAGTTTACAGTGTGAATCCTTCAGTACGGCACATAAGTGCTTCACTCCTGAGTTTCCTAGTTCATTCCCGCTCAGGTCCAGCTCTCTCAGGTGTGACGGGTTTGATTTCAGAGCTGAAGTCAGGAAGAGACTCTGTTTCTCTGTAATAATGCAATCACTCAGACTAAAGACAGAGAAATAACAATAGTTCACATCTATGATCAGGGTTTCCTCTGACTCATAAAAAGTAAAAAAAAAAACACCTTAGATTTAGCAGATGCATTTACTCTGATTGGCCTCGCTCAGCCTCGCTTTTCCGTCTACTAATTCCCATCATTTACCATGATGATAAAATGAAATGTGGGATATTTTTGAATTGTGTTATATTATTAATGTAGACAATGTATGAAAGTACTAATGGAATATAATTACAGTATTTAATGTATTTAGGCTTTATTGTTTTTCATACATTTCTTGAATATATGTGCCATCCAAGTCAGGCAACACATACCTGTTTCAAGACTTGAAACAATATCCCCCATTAGCACAAACAGAAACTAAGAAATTTATTTTCCAATTAAGATATTAATTTTGTCTAGGAAAAATGACACGTTTGAATGTTCTATCTCATATTTGTGAAAAGTTCTCGTGTTTGGCAAGTGTTTGTCATGATATGTTCTGACAATAAAGAGTAGTTTAAAACTACAATTAATGCTCTGGCTATAACTTTCAGCTAGGAGCAAAAATCTGCCTTTAAACTTGAAAGAAATGAAGATTTGACATTTATCGTGATAATTATCGATGCTGACTGATATATTAACGTGATAATTGTTAAGTGTTGTTCCTGTGTTATTGATACTTAGGAAAAGGGAGCCTTCAGTTTGTTTCTTTTAAGAAAATAGAACCTTTAAATAATGAAACTCATTACTTTTACTAAAGTCAATAAAAAAAGACTTTGAAAGGAAGTTATTTTTCGTAATTCGTGTCGGTCATAAATTTAAATCATAATGGTCATAAAAAGGTCTTAAAAAGTCTAAACTAAACTAAACCCTGCAGAAACCCACTATGATGATCATCTTATTGAAGAGCTACAGCAGCATTTAGTTTCCAATGGTCTGTTTTAAAACCCAGTCACACTAGTTCTGTGTGCTGGAAGACACTGTTTCTTTATTTTCTGTTTAAAAGGCAGATTTCTGTGTGTACACAATCAGTACATTGTATCAGATGTTGGGAATTAAACAATTACTATCTAGATAAAAAACACAAAAAATGTGAGCAATAGGGAAATTCAGAAAGTGAACTGCTATAACCAATGAAACATAAGCCCTGCTGTCTTCAAATAAATAAACTTCAGTCACACTGTAATTGCTGTACAGTATAATGACACTAACTGTAGTTTCTCCAGCTTGAATTGTGGGTTCATCAGTAGATCACTGAGGTTTTTCACTCCAGAGTCTCCTAGTTTATTCCTGCTCAGGTCCAGCTCTCTCAGGTGTGATGGGTTTGATTTCAGAGCTGAAGTCACATCAGAACAACCTTCATCTGTCATATCACAGCAGCTAAACCTACATTAGCAGAGAGAGAGAGAGAGAGAGAGAGAGAGAGAATGAAGACAATAAGAGACTCTTTATTCTGTAAAGTCACATCATCTTAATCAGCAAATAAAAAAGACAGAGGAAGAGAGATCTTCATCTTTATTTCACCAGATCACAAAATACTAAAGTGAAAACGTTTGCAGAAATATAATCTGAATTTAGACTCATTGTGAGATATTGAGTATAAAGTGGTTTAGTTTACTTTTGATTATTTTATGTATGTCTATATATATATATATATATATATATACACACACACACACACAGTATCTGAGGTAGAAGCGTGCGTTCGGAGTGTGTGATTGGCTAAATGTGAGGTAGAAGCGTGGTTTCGGAGCGTGTGATTGGCTGAATGTGAGGTAGAAGCATGCTTTCGGAACATGTGATTGGCTGAATGTGAGGCTGAATGTGATTGGCTGCCGGAGCTGGTGAAAACGATTCTGTATGCCAGGCGGTTCTGAGTGACTCTCTGCATTTATTCATGAGAAAGAGCTCATTCAATCCAATCCAATCGCTGTAGTACACATGACATCATCACATCACAGTGGAGACAATGCTCGCAATGCGGATCATGGATCATATAGTTCATATACGGATCAGAGCATGCTTTTCAAGTTTTTATGGACCGATTTCATATCCTCTAGTGCTCTAAAGATGAACCAGCACCGCTCTTCTTTAAATAAAATGTATGTGCAAATAAAGACACTGATACAGCTGTATATCTGATCATGAATGCGATGTTACAATGGATTATTCTGATACACAGAACACAATGATGTAGACAACAATTAAAAAAACAACGGACAAAAATTAACGTCTCAGTTACGTATGTAACCATCATTCCCTGAGTAGGAATAATAAAGACAGTTCCCTTTCGTAGTCACTAAAAATATATTTGCCATAGAAGAAGAACTTTGTACTCCTATCTACAACCTTGCTACTATTTGTTAACATCATAAATGCAATACATCAAATAACAAAAACATATGTAGTTTACAACACTCTTCGGGCTTGGCAAGATATAAATAAGTTCTTTGGGAATTTTGGTAACATATACAGGCTTTCCCCCATATCCTTAAACCCAGATCTGCCACCGTCTATTGGTGGTTCCTTGTTCGCAGAGTGGAGAGGAAATGGCGTACAGCAATTCCAACAATTGTTTGATGGGGATACACTCAAGTCCTTTGCTGTTCTAATGTCAGTGTATGGAATTCCGAAACAGGACTTTTATAAATACTTAGAAATTCGCCATTTAATACACCTTATTCACGGCAGCGCCATCTTTGATTTTTAATGAGAATGAAAGCGAGGCTGTGAGGGATAGACTTGCATCTCTTCAATGGGCTGTACTGTTATTTAATGTGTTTACGGATTGTTCTGCTCATGAAACACTGGAAAAATATCTTTCAAAGAAATGTCAGTTGACAAAAAACTCCCGACAATGTAAGCTGTGGAAAATTGTAAGTAATCTAGCCACTTTATTCAGCTTTTTACAGCGGATGACATTGGAAACACGGTAAGTCTATCCCTCACTTTCATACCCGTCATGGCGCTGCTCTGAATAAGGTCTATAAACACCCTGAAAGGGGAAAAAGGCCTCTGGCCTCATCCGTTCCCTCTCTCCAGAATATTAAGGAACTGCATTTCCTATCTATCCCTCTGATTATTACCAGTCTCCATCCCTGCCTAGTTTATCTGATTATCCCCATCTGCATCACCTGTTCCCTATTATTGCCCCTTTATCTGGACTGTGTTTCTCATTGTGACTTTGCAAAGTCTTGATTTGATCTGCTGTCATCACCGAGCGTTTATCCCCGTTTATAGTGATTCTCTGGTACTCTGATCTCTGCCTGGACTCTCGTTTCTGTGAACCTTGCTGCCTGCCCTGACCCTTGCCTGTGTTCAGTTTCGGATTCTGGATTGCCCTGTACCTGCACTGTTTATGTCTGTTTATCTCTGCTTCATTGCATGTTTAAATAAAATTCTGCAAATGGATCATAACGCCTCTGACCAGGCATTACAGTCTGTATTAGGGCCTAAAAATATCTTGAGGAGATTTTGGTAAACTCAACATCATTAAAAGGAACAATCTCTGTAATTTATAGTGCTCTGTTGGACCGTTACAGCTCTTCCTTGACTCCACTTAGGAACGTATGGCAGAAGGATTTGGGACGTGCTTTTGATGAAGCTCAGTGGGAAACAGTATGTCAGAATGTTTTTTCCCCACTGTCCTGTAATAAGATAATCAAACTAAATTATTAATTCATGCACAGGATGTACCTTACTCCGCTTCGCCTAAGTAAAATGTTTTCTAACTCATCCCCCAGATGTCATCGTTGTAAAACATGTAAAGGCCAATTATGCATGTTTTTTTGAGAATGCAAGAAATTTAAACAGTTCTGGAAGGCGATACATGATCTAACTGTTAAGATAGTGAAAACCCTGCTGGACATTACACCAACACGGTACCTCTTTGGTACGGAATTGGATAAGACACTGGACACCACATGCAGGAAGAGGATTATCATAATGTCTTATATCGCAAAGACATGTATCTTGCTCAATTGGAATCAACAAAGATCCCCATCATTTAATCTGTTTAAACAAATCCTCAACAAAACTTTAAGACTGGAACAACGCACATACACCCTAAAAAATAAGGGGGATACCTTCCGAAGGATATGGGAACCGCTTATGGACCTCTGACATTACCATGTCATGACAGGGTTTGGCATGTTTACATAACATTCACAAAGGATGAACTGTGACCATGGACTGATTTGATTTAATTTACTGTATTTTATTATTATTTTTATTTATTTTTATTTTTTAATTATCTTATGTTAATAAAATGTTAAAAATCAATAAAAAGACTATTGGAAAAAAAAAAGAAAATATATTTGCCAATGACCAGGATCAGTGGCTCTTATTCTGATTTATAATGTTAAATCTTTCCTTTTCTTGGAACAAAATGAATGCTTAACCCTCTACCGCAAGCATTATGATAGACCTATAGAAAAAAAAATTGCTTTTTCTTTTCTTTTTTTTTATTTTATTCTGAATGGCTTAACTTGAAGTAATGTAAAAAGAAAATTAGATGTGTATGTGATAGGGGCTGATCCTTGTTTGTTCCTGACGTTTTAGTTTGCTTTCAGCAACTACCGTCTATGTCATGCCGTCTAGCATATCATTGGCTAAACTAAGGTCTTCTCATTCCAACAAAAAACACGAGAATGTTTTCTTAAAGAGACAGTGGCAATGACATGAACAAAAAGAGTATGTTGCCAAATGGCAACACCATGCGGTAGAGGGTTAATGTCACTTCAATATTACTAGATGAAAAAACACAACAACAATAACATAGCACAATGACAGGATTGATATGGTATAGCAACGTTGTAACAAATAAATAAAAGATCTTTGAATTTTTCACAAAAGTTATCTTGGGCTTTTGCCTCCGGCATCGTCCTGTCAGTCATTGCACCTCACTCTAGTCATGTGACTCCTGTGGCTCAACTTACCTCAGTATCTCCAATTTGCACTTTATATTCTTCAATCCAGTGCAGAGCAGCTTCACTCCTGAATCCTGCAGCTTATTATTGTTCATGCTCAGCTCTTTCAGATTAGTATCTAATCCAAGAACTGCAGCCAGAGCTGAACAGCTTTTGTCTGTTAAGTTACAATCATTTAACCTACAATAAAGTCACAACACAGAATTAGATGGAACACGTTCAACATATTTTCTATACACAAATATTAAATAATTCCATTTATTTTTTTTACATAAACAGCATATACAGCAAAGAGCCCGAGTTAAACTATCATTTATCTTCAAAAACGACTACTTCCTGTATATTAATGTTTTTGATTCAGTGACAAATTTCCTAAATAAAATAAAGCATATTTGAAAATAAATATTTGTGTAAAGCTGTTATAGCCATAGGAGTTTTTTTCTCTATTTATGTCACCTAATGGAGTTTAGGTTCTTGCCAGTGTTGCCTCTGTCTTTCTAAATTGGGGACACTTAATATTAGGGCTGTGAACAAAAATCGATTCACATTTGTATCGCAATTCAAGCTTTACCGATTCAAAATCGATTCGTAGAATTCCAAAAATCTTACATACATATATATTTTGTAATGGTGTGCAGGGGTGGAGTGGCAATCGGGAGTCGGGACTTTTCCCGGTGGTCTGGTAGTGTTTCGAGGCCGCGAGGGCCTTTCTGATAATAGTGATACATTGCAAGTTCTTAGCAACACCATCCGGTGGACTGGTGTGCGGCCGCTGCCTGCTGGTCAAACTGTGCGGCCTCTCTGCTCAACCCGTAAATAAATGCATCGATCCACATATTTTGTTTGAGTTCTTAAATGTTCTTGTGGTAGATTTTTTGCCAAGTGTGTCAGAAGTTATGGGTTCTAATCTGCACTCATATAGTTTTCTTCTCTCTCTCATCAAGCCCGAATATGTTCATCAGTGGATACAGTCTATATCAAGCAGGGACATGTTTGTGTGCATTTTATTTTGTGATTTCACTGGAATGAATAGAGAGTCTCCACAATGCCGATAGATTGAAGAGCGCGTGTGAGTGAAGACTGCGCGCACCACAAGAGAACAACTGTATCCATGATTCTGATAGCAGCGGCAACGAGAGCTCAGCATGATTTCAAAAACAACAAATGCTAGGTCTCTTATTTAATAGCAAACTAAATTAATGCTTTGCTAGTTAACTGGATATGTTTTATTTATTTGTATTAGGTACATCCGTGCAATGTTTCAAAAAGTGGTGGGGGACAATATCGATCCTGTGAAAAAGGGCTGGAGACATGTCCCATCTGTCCCAGCCGCAAATTACGCCTATAATAAGGGCTGGATCTAAACAAATATACACAATATGACGTACTCAGTTACTAACGTAACCTCGGTTTTCTCTAGAAGAGGGAACGAGTACTGCATAATATCTTACGCTAGGGGGAAAACCTCTTTTCCTTGAGATATTGAAGCCAAAAAATTATCCTTAATTTTGAATTATTGAAAAACGTGTAGCAGCAGCATGCAGATATAGGCAAGGCGGCTTAGCGTGCCAATTGGCTGTTCTGCGGCAACTGCATCAGCCTATCAAGAGCGGCTCTTTGGTGACGGTATAATGAGGGCACTTCGCGCCCATTGCGCCATACTCCCGCCGAAGCGGCCGTGGTTTAGCCCAATAAATATAGCTTGATGGGCTGATATCCCTGGTTTTTCATTGCCGAAGCGAACCAGAGCGTGTAGCAGGCACGGCAAGATACGCAGTACTCGTTCTCTCTTCGTAATCGAATTGGGTGCTGAACATTATGAAAAGAGGATATTCGTTACAGTTTGCTCGATGCCCTCACAGCTGCACAGCGTGTGAGCACACCTCTACAAACAAACAACGTTTTCCCGGCGACCCACATAAAGCACAAAAATAGTATGTTTCACAATCACAACACACAGGTTTACGGTCACCCTCCATTAGGCGTGGGTCACGTGCTTCTCACCAAAATACAAAATCTGTTGGCAAAAGGTACGATAGAGTGTCTCCCGATAGAGTGTCTCCTGAGTGCCCCCCCCCCCCACCACACACACACACACACACCCCAACCCCCACACACGAAAAAGGACGGCAGCCTTAGACCCATTCTAGATTTGAGACGCTTGAACAAGGCCTTTCAAAATGTTAAATATCGCATCTACACTCACCGGCCACTTTATTAGGTACCCCATGCTAGTAACGGGTTGGACCCCCTTTTGCCTTCAGAACTGCCTCAATTCTTTGAGGCATAGATTCAACAAGGTGCTGGAAGCATTCCTCAGGGAGTTTGGTCCATATTGACATGATGGCATCACACAGTTGCCGCAGATTTGTCGGCTGCACATCCATGATGCGAATCTCCCGTTCCACCACATCCCAAAGATGCTCTATTGGATTGAGATCTGGTGACTGTGGAGGCCATTTGAGTACAGCGAACTCATTGTCATGTTCAAGAAACCAGTCTGAGATGATTCCAGCTTTATGACATGGCGCATTATCCTGCTGAAAGTAGCCATCAGAAGTTGGGTACATTGTGGTCATAAAGGGATGGACATGGTCAGCAACAATACTCAGGTAGGCTGTGGCGTTGCAACGATGCTCAATTGGTACCAAGGGGCCCAAAGAGTGCCAAGAAAATATTCCCCACACCATGACACCACCACCACCAGCCTGAACCGTTGATACAAGGCAGGATGGATCCATGCTTTCATGTTGTAGACGCCAAATTCTGACCCTACCATCCGAATGTCGCAGCAGAAATCGAGACTCATCAGACCAGGCAACGTTTTTCCAATCTTTATTGTCCAATTTCGATGAGCTTGTGCAAATTGTAGCCTCAGTTTCCTGTTCTTAGCTGAAAGGAGTGGCACCCGGTGTGGTCTTCTGCTGCTGTAGCCCATCTGCCTCAAAGTTCGACGTACTGTGCGTTCAGAGATGCTCTTCTGCCCACCTTGGTTGTAACGGGTGGTTATTTGAGTCACTGTTGCCCTTCTATCAGCTCGAACCAGTCTGGCCATTCTCCTCTGACCTCTGGCATCAACAAGGCATTTCCGCCCACAGAACTGCCGCTCACTGGATGTTTTTTCTTTTTCGGACCATTCTCTGTAAACCCTAGAGATGGTTGTGCGTGAAAATCCCAGTAGATTAGCAGTTTCTGAAATACTCAGACCAGCCCTTCTGGCACCAACAATCATGCCACGTTCAAAGTCACTCAAATCACCTTTCTTCCCCATACTGATGCTCGGTTTGAACTGCAGGAGATTGTCTTGACCATGTCTACATGCCTAAATGCACTGAGTTGCCGCCATGTGATTGGCTGCTTAGAAATTAAGTGTTAACGAGCAGTTGGACAGGTGTACCTAATAAAGTGGCCAGTGAGTGTATATACAAGCGCTGGCAGCCTCATTCAAGGCAGGCGAGCGTGCACCCCTGAAGAAATTTCAGAAACTTCTCGGTCTAATGGCAGCAGCATCATCAGTACACCCATAGGCGTAATTTGCGGGTGAGACAGGGGGGACATGTCCCCACCACTTTTTGCCAGGGTTGATTTTGTCCCCACCACTTTTGAAACATCTCGCGGCACAGATCTATTCTTTATTTAACCAGGTAAAAACTCTTTTGCAAGGGAGACCTGGCCAAGATAGGCAGCAAAATTACATCACATCATTACATACGTACAAAGACACACAAATAAAAGCCGATTATGCACTTACAAATGAAATCTCAACGAAAACATTGACGTGAGGGAGTCCAACTCAAAACTTCTCATTCTCAACTTAAAAACACTTAAAGGATGTAACTAATACAAATAAATAAAACATCTCTAGTTAACTAGCAGAGCATTAATTTCGTTTGTTTGTTAAATAAGAGGCGATCTAGTCTGCTGAAATGTGTTGTTTTTGAAATCAAGTGATCAAAGTGCTCGTTCACTGCAATCAGTGGCACCGATAAAGTGTTCTCTTGTGGCTCGCGCACAGTCTTTACACGGAGGTGTGCTTTAATCCGTTGCGAAGACTCTCTATTCGTTACGGTGAAATCACAAAGTAAAATGCCCACAAACGTGTCCCTGCTTGATATACAACCACTGATAAACATAATCAGTTTTAATGTGGAAAAAAAGAAGAAAAAAAACTATACGATTGAGGATTAGAACGCAGAATCTCTGACATGCTTGGCAAAAATTCTGCCACTGGACCATTGGTGCATGCGTGTATCTGATGGATCTATGTTTTTGTTCAAGTGAAAATTCTCGGCACCAACACATATTAGATCTCATTAAACGACAAATTAAACACAATGTACTATTTAAATCGATTGCTGGTCATTGGTGTGTCATCTGATTTATGATTTAGCATTGTATTAGCCCCCCCACCTGTCCCACCCACTTCTTAAAGCAAACTTACGCCACTGAGTTCTCCTTATTAATAAACGCCTGTTAAAACCCAGGAACGACTTGAGCCTATATTAAAACTCGAGGGGAGTAACAATAATTATATGTAAGTCATAAAAGTCGGGTGTATCATACGACACAAAACAAACATGAAAACATTTTTACATGGTATTTATATTTTGTGTTAAGTTGTGATAAACTGCCCCCCCCCCACACACACACAAAAAAAAGCTTTTTAGATATCGCTTCATGTTTATGATGGGGAATCCTTATAGAGCTCAATGTATTTCAGATGAGAGCTAAACATGACAAAATATATAAAAGACTTACAGAGCTCTTCTGGAGGCTTTAATGACTGGCGATAATCTAATGAGACACTCGTCTGATTTCTTGAATTTCTGAAGCTCAAACTCCTCCAGCTCTTCTTCTGATGTCAACAACACAAAGACTAAAGCAGACCACTGGGCAGGTGAAAGGTCACCAGATGAGAGACTTCCTTTGCTAAGGTGGGTCTGAATCTCGTTCACCAGAGTTTGGTCGTTCAGTTCATTCAGACAGTAGAACAGATTGATGGATCTCTCTGCAGGAAGATTAGCTTCTAATTTCTGCTTGATGTACTGAACTATTTCCTTGTTGCTCCGGTCAGTGTTGTCTCGCTGTGTCAACAGACCTCGTAAGAGTCGTCGAACTATCCTCTTGTTGCTCTGGTCAGTGCCGTCTGTCTTTGTCAACAGACCTCGTAAGAGTCGTTGAACTATCCCCTTGTTGCTCTGGTCAGTGCCGTCTCGCGGTGTCAACAAACCTCGTAAGAGTTGTCGATTGGACTGGAGTGACAGACCGAGGAGGAAGCGAAGGAAAAGGTCCAGGTGTCCATTGTCACTCTCCAGCGCCTTGTCCACTGCAGTCTTGAGAAAATCAATCATGGTTTCATTTCTGTTTTCCTGTTCTGTAGACTCATGATCAAACACACTTGTCTTGTTGATGTCTAGAAACAGATGTGCATAAAGGGCTGCAATAAACTCTTGAATGCTCAAGTGAACAAAGCAGTACATGGTACCAAGAACGATCCCTGTTTCCTCCTTAAAGATCTGGGTACACATGCCTGAGTACACTGATGCCTTATAGACGTCAAGACCACAGGCTTCCAGGTCTGTGTCATAGAAGATCAGGTTGTTTCTTTCCAGCTGATGAAATGCCAGTTTCCCCAGTGAAAGGATTGTGTCTTTATCCCAGGAAACATCTGGTGTGTATTCTCCATCATATTTCCGGCGGCTCTGCTGGATCTGAAAGCGGAGAAAGTGTGTGTACATTTGTGTCAGAGTCTTGGGAGTGTCTTCAGTGTTTGATTCCTGCAGTGTTTTAGAGATCTCATCAGCCTGAGTGTTTCTCACATCATTATTTCTCTTCTCCTCCAGAATGTTCTGGAGAACAGTGGCTGAAATCCAGCAGAAGACTGGGATGTGGCACATGATAAAGAGACTCTTTGATTGTTTAACGTGATCTATGATTGTGTTGGCTTGACCTTCATCCTTGAATCTTTTTTTGAAGTACTCTTGCTTTTGTGCGTCGCTGAATCCTCGTATCTCTGTCAGCCGGTCGATACAGTCAGGAGGAATCTTACTGGCAGCTGCTGGTCTGCTGGTGATCCAGACGAGAGCAGAAGGAAGCAGATTTCCCTTCATGAGGTTCGTCAGGAGAACATCCAGAGAGGCTGGTGACGATACATCACGCCACGTCTCATTACTATCAAACTTCAGAGGAAGGCGACATTCGTCCAATCCATCAAGGATGAACAGCACTTTGAACTGATTCCTTCTTGTAAGGTTCAGTCCTTTTGTCTCTGGGAAAAACTGAGTTATAAGGTCCATCAAACTTAGTTTTTCTTTCTCCTTTAAGTTCATCTCTCTGAATGGAAGAGGAAATATGAAGCTGATATCTTGATTTTCTTTTCCTTCAGCCCAGTCCAGAACAAACTTTTGCACAGAGACTGATTTCCCAATGCCAGCGACTCCTTTTGTCAGTACAGTTCGGATCTCCTTGTCTTGTTCAGGCGCTTCAAACAAATGTGTGCATTCAACCTGTATCTCTTGTGCTTCATGACGTCTGGAAGCAACTTCAATCTGTCTCACCTCATGTTCAGTATTGACCTGTTCACTGCCACCCTGAGTGATGTAGAGATCTGTGTAGATGTTATTCAGGAGTGTGGAGTCACCTTGCTTCGCCATTCCTTCAAACACACATTGATACTTCTTCTTTAGGCCACATTTCAGCTGATGAATGAAGAACAGCTCACCTAAACACAGGAACAGGAAATAGATAGTTTTAGTCTTCATTTTCTCTCCTACATTTATAAGAGACAATCAGACAGATGATGATGAGTCTCTTGCCTTCTAGAGCATCAGCAGCTTCATCTTGCTTCATCTCTCTCAGGTAATGTAGTGTGAGATCAAGAGCTGCTGATTTGATACTGGATCTGTTCTCATTAAAGTCCTTCACAAAGTGTTGTGTGTTCTCATGTTGCAATATTTTCTTTAACTTCTCCAGTTCATTCTTCAGAAATGTGATTATTTTGCTCTCAAGATCCTACAAACAAAAGTTAAGAGACAAACAGTAACATGCTGACCAAGTTGTACTAAAATGTGTTTAAAAGGAAAAATAAGTGATCAAGAAAAATGTAATTACATTTCTTTGTTCAATAACATGTTTGTTTTTTAGAAATATTAAATTTATATAACTTATAATATTAAATTTCTAAAAACGTATTTTCCTACCTGGAAGATCCCAAGAAGATTGTCTTTGAAATTCTCGTGGTTCCTGTGAGTCTGAAGGTCTAAGTCTAATGTCTCATATTGAAGCCTGTAATCACATTAGTAAAATAAAATACTAACTGATATTTTACAGAAAGAGAAATAAGCATTAGCTGTGAATACTCTGACAAGAATTTGATCTAAATATTGTAAAGCCTATGGAATGCCAAAGCTGACTTAATTAAAAATAAATATATACATGAATAAATATACGAAGAAATGTAAAAAAGCAAAAATACAAAAATAAATACATAAATAAATATACGAAGAAATTTAAAAACCAAAAATACAAAAATAAATACATAAATAAATATACAAAGAAATGTAAAAAAGTACAAATAAATGAGCATTTATACTTTTATTTCCATATTTATGTATAATTGTATTTTTTCACACATTTATTTATTTATTTCTACATTTATTCATTTCCACTTTTATTTATTTCCACATTCATTTATGTATTTATGTTTTTATGTCTACATTTATTTATTTTAACATTTATTTATTTCTACATTTATTTATTCCAACATTTCTTTCTCCGTATGTTAATGAGGGGGGCGTGTTTTAACTCAGACCTCAGCAATCGAGCTCAGAATGGCAGTGCTGAAGCTTTGAGGCCACAGTGACACCTTGTGGTGTGTGACCAAACGAAACGCAAAAGCTGTGCAGGCAATATCACATTTTAAGTCATGTGTATCACCCTAACTGTAGCCTACGTAGGGTAGGCTATATAGGGTGGTTAACACACATAGCACACATGAACAGAAACTGCACTTCAACGGGTCTGATACAACTGATCCACTATTAATAAAATTGTAAATGCGTTGGATAGGGCTGATAGCTTGCGTTTGGCTTGCGTTTATTGTCGATGAGACTCGCACACAAAACACGACTCAAAACGCGGTTTACATTCGTTTCCTCATTTCGTATGCATGCATTTCGTATAACTGCGTAAGGAAACGCGAATGAGTCGCATTGAGTCGCGTTTGTGTGCAAGATGCTGCTCTTAGACACTGATTAATCACAAGGCACCAATTTTGAATTATTCTTAAATTAAAGGTGCTGTATGCGATTTTTAGCAACCTCTAGCGGTGATGTTTCAGAATGCAACAAGAGCGCTCGTGCTCGTGTGCGTGATCAATCTCAAGAGCGAGCAATCACTACCAGCCACACGGAGACTTTCAACGTAACGGCAAAATCATCACACAACATGCTGGAAACTAATGTAAACTCCCACTGCAGGTACAATAATAGCCCAACTTACTTTTATCAGCTTGACATTGAACTAATGCTCTGTGCTCGTACCATGATAATATTACAATAAACTAGTGGTGCACGATATATCGGCCGCCGATATAACATCGGCCGGTTTGGTCAATTTTTTACAAATCGGTATCGTTCCGATGTCAAAGTAGGGCCGATGTGAATAGGCCGATGATCAGTAGGTGTGAGTGTGGGGGCGGGGATGTTTGTTTTTGCATGCGTATTAAAAGCGCGAGTGCGTTTAAACATCAAGCACACGAAGACTGGAACTGGTGAGCTGTTTTCTGCCAGCCTTCCTAATGCGTATTTTTGTCCCGCCAAAGCCATATTCAGTGTTGGGTGTTGGTATTCAGTAATAATATTACTTTTTCCAGTAACTGGTAGTGTAAGGCATTACTCGTCTGAAAATGGTAATATTATTACAGTTATCCCGAGCTAGTTACTTGCGTTACATTTGCCAGTAGCACATCACACACAAGGCACACAACACAGAGAACAGAAGCGAAGGGGGGAGGAGGGCGTGAATGGAACAGTGATTGGTCTGGGTTTGGCACGAGGTATCATTTACCATCACCGATTGGTCGACACACCCGGCAGCCAGCAGCAGAGCGGCACCCTCAAAGACAGATGAGGAAAAATGGAAGCGTCAACAACGGCAAGCTCTTTTTCAGAGGAAGGTTCCCAGCAACAGAAAGCTAGTTTCGACGGGTGGAGATTCAGTCATTATTTTGAATATGTTCAACGGAAGGAAAATAACTTGACGGTGAAGTGCACACTCTGCCCGGGGAGAAAACTGCTCTCCACCGCTTGTAACTCTACCTCCAACTTGAAAAAGCACCTGCAGCGACAGCACGGACACATCAAGCTCGTTGCGAAGCGACAGAGTGACATGAACGAGCAGCCCCACAAGCAGCAAAAACTTTCATTTGAACATAAAGTACTACCAACATCAAAATCCGAGCTAAATAAGCTTGTTGCCTCGTACGTAGTAGAAGAAATGTTACCTCTTTCTACTGTCGAATCGCTGTCTTTAGCAAAATACCGATAGCAGGGACAGACCAGCCGTTTTCTGACAGGAAAACCTTCGCAATGTATTTAGATAAATGTTACGCCATGATGGAAAGTGAGCTGAAGAAAACGTTTGAGTGCACTGAGTATGTGTCAACGACCGCTGACATCTGGACTTGTCACAACAAAAGCTACATAGGCATGACTGCCCATTGGATTGATCCAAGCAACTTCCATCGTGAAAAAGCAGCCCTTGCCTGCAAACGAATCAAAGGACGAGTCGACACACATATGACATTGTGGCCACTGAAATTGACCAGGTTCACTCATCTTATGGACTGTCAGAGAAGGTCACAGCAACAGTCACAGACAATGGATCGAATTTTGTCAAGGCTTTCAGGTCAGTTGAATAATAGTTTACTTACTTGTACTTATTTGCAAATGTATAGTTAATAAATTGTTTAACCCCTTTAACTGTCACCCCCCCCCCCCATTTCACATAGACAAAAAAATCACTACAAACTTTGAATATGAAATATTCTTGTTGCAAATGGATAAATTACTGATCCTCTGTAATTTATTTAAAAAAAATATTTTTAAAAAATATGAAAACTAGAGATTTTGAGCTTTCAAATGATATATAGTTTGTCAATATTACTTTAGGTTTTTACTAAGATATTATTGTTTTAAATATATATGGGCAAACATCCCACCTGTGGGACAGTGACAGTTAAGGGTTGATTGCATTAATCAAGAAGACACATGATAAGATTACATTTGAATTGAATAGGCCACACATTATATATTTTTTTTTCTTCTTGCACTTCTCACATTCAGGGAGTATGAGCCCAAGCCAGCAGCAGCAGCATCCGATTCAGAGGACGAGGGATCAGGGGAGGAGGATGAAGAAGTGTCATTTACCGATGTACAAGAAGTGCTCTCCACGGAACAAGAAGAACCAGGACACTTTACTCTCCCCCCTCACTTAAGATGTGCCTCGCACACACTTAATTTGATATCAACTGTTGATATTGAAAAATGGTTGACAGTGACAAACAAAACAATTTACAGAAGTGCCACTGCAAAGTGCTCTGCCCTCTGGAATAAGGCCAGCCGGTCTACAGTAGCTGCAGAGCTAGTGGAAAGCCTTTGTGGAAAAAAGCTCATGGTGCCTACAGTGACGAGATGGAACTCTTTCCACAATGCAGTTGCACGAATAACTGAGATATCCAGACCACAATTGACAACTCTTTGCAGTCAGTTAGGTGTACGAGCCTTTTCCGAGCGAGAGTACAAATTCCTTGTAGAGTATTGCACAGTCACAAAACCGCTTACAAAAGCTTTGGACCGTTTACAAGGTGAGATAAAGTATAGGTTAATGTAAACCTGTGGCTTATTGCCTTTCCTTTTTTTGAATGTTAAACATTTGAATCAAACAAGTAATTCATTTATTGATTCACATTCATTCATTCCAGGAGAAAATTATTGTTATTATGGCAATCTATTACCGACACTGGAGTCTCTGATGTCAAAGACCTTGGCACTGCGTCCCGGCCTCTCCGAGATGATGACAAATCTGCCCGATGTCATAGTGCAGGTAGGCTGTGAGTGTGTATTTAAGACTTACTAACTGTAACTTTGTGTGATATGAGAAAAGCCTGTCATATGCACAATTGCACATCCCTCCACTATCACAGATGCTTTCATTATCACAGTCTTCTAAATTTCACACTAAAATAGGCTCTTAGAGAATGTAAGAATTGTTTACTGGTACTTTCTGAAGATCTGGTATAGACCATTTCACAAGATGTAAACAACACTGGTCCAGAAGCACTTCCTGTTTCAGTTTTTTAACGCTACATAAAAGCTGGAATAAAAATACTACCAACAGAACATGTAAAACTGAATCAAAAAGTTAAATAACATCATTAAGATGTTTTCTTTACATGTGAAATAAAGAAAACAGTTACAAACTGAAACAGGAAGTGCTTCTGGACCAGTGTTGTTTACATCTTGTGAAATGGTCTATAGTCAATATGCTTGTTGCATCATTTACATGTCAACTCCTTCCACAGGAAGGTATGTTTTTCCTCTTTAAGAGAAATATCTAATTTTAGAAATCTCTTTCTTACAGGCCATCAAAACCCACTTTGCTTCTGTTTTGGACAGTAGGGAGGGTCTCCTAGCTGCTGTCACTCTGCCGAAGTTCAAGATGAGGTGGTTGAGGGAAGAGACCAGGAGAGAGGCCCTAAAGACTCTGCTGATAACAGAGTGCCGTGCTTCACCCCTGGCTGCCCCCCACAATGAGGAGCACGAGGTCAGGCCTCCACAGATTAGTCCAGCATCCAGCAGTAGTGAGGATGACTTTTTTGTGTTTGAGGAAGAGCAGGATTCAGGATCTTTTGGCCCAGACAGGGAGGTGATGGAGTACCTGAAGTCTGGGTCAGAGATGGGGGTCCTAGACAACTTTCCCAGAATTAAGAACTTATCTTTAAAATACAATACAGCACCAGCATCCAGTGCTCCAGTGGAGAGGCTATTCAGCCTGGGAAGTCTTGTTCTCACTCCAAGGAGGAACAGGTTAGGAGACAAGCGCTTTGAGAGACTCCTCCTTATGAGGTATAACCACTACTTTGACAAATAAGCTGACCCATTCAGAAGCTCATATTTTGCACCAGAAAAATGCATTACAGTAAATGCCAACTGTATCTTTCCTTTTATTTACTTTGAGTCTTCTGTATCTGCTTTAACTCATTTCAACAACCTACCTCTCCTCTG